GACTCTGAGCCCTCTCTTTCACTCTCAGCCTCTGAATTTGGAAAGTGTTTCTCTTCTTCCTTGGTTTCAGCTTCTGTATCAGCCAATTCCAGGCTCTCTTCTTCGCTTTTGTTTTCGGATTGTTCCTGCTTCTCACTATAACCATCTTCGTTTTCATGGTCCACATCTAGACTCACTTCCTGCTCTTCTGTTCTCTCAGTTTCAGCATTCAACTCTTTCAACGATTTGAGATTCTTTCCCTCTCTTGTTTTTTCGGATTCTTTGCTCACAACGGCAGCCTTCTTCTTCGATCCACCTTTGCCTCTTTTCGCTTGTTTATTTACCTTTTTTCCAGAATTGTTCTTCGTAACTGTTCTACTGGAGGATCTATCACCATATATATACACACCACTTCATTCAGAGCAAGGAATCAAAACTTCACATAAGCAATAACTAGAATTATAGTAAATTCTCACACACCTTACACCAGAGGAACTAGTCGGCTCCACAGACACACCCACGTTTTTGCTTCTCTTGACTTTCTGCCTCTGCATTCTGCAAAATCATACGAACACCAGACTTGAATCAAATTCAGTAAAGACTTGACCTTTATGCAGATCACAGTAATGAAAATCTGACACATTAACCGTTTTACTTACACGTCAATTAAAGGAATGGACTCTGGCAGATCAATCTCCATGTCCTGCTGATTCGATTTTGAGGAAATCATTAAGCATTGCAGTTACACTTTCTTGAGATACAAAAAAAAATGAACTTGTACCTCACTGGCAGAAGTGTTGTGATCCTCCTCGAGTAACTCCCAGCGTTCTTTAATGAGATTAAGCTCTTCTGAATCTCCATCAGTATATACTACCTGCAACCAGTGGGAGAACAAACATTCCATATGAATCAACTAAAATCAAAAGGCGTGAAACTGATAGGTGGAACAGAAACAAGTAGCAGATCAGAGATGTTTTCTCACCAGATGCATCTTCTTACGACTACAATAAGACTTGACGATGCCTTCATAAAACCTGCACAGTGAAATACCATCAACGGAAAAGCAGAGATAAAGGTACACTTAAAAAAAAAAAAAAAACCTTGAGCTATTACTCACTACATCAAAAAAATTTCCAAACACACTTACGTCTTGTCGAGCGGCCACCAGATCTTAACTCTCTTACCAATCAAATCCTTGCCTAAGCCATTCGTATCAGACTCCTGAAAAGAGGAAATACATATATCAGTTGGTAACAGATATGTGGCAATCGATGGCTAATAATGGGGATGGAAGGCAAGAAAGCTTATTATACCACTTCTTTTCTTGCTGTCCGTCTCCTTGTCAGATGACTCTGTAAAGTTTCTTCAGATTCTTCTGCCAATTGTCTAGCTGCAACTTGAGAAACCATCTTCTGCATAGTGATCCAAACGTACAAATTCTTCAACACAAAGTTTTACAGTATCATTTACAAGACAAATCTATGATCATCTTGTTTTCTACCTTGCTCTTTGATGATTGTGGAACAGGAGTATCCAGGGATGCACGTTCTGAATTCTTTCTCTTAGCAACCGAGCGAGCTGATGATCTTTTTCCGCTGGAGTTCACAATCTTCGCTTCAACAATTGGCCTCTTCTTTGCTGTTCTCTCATTTTTCTCTAAGCCATTCTGGGACCTTGTCTTCTTGCTTGAATTTCCGATATTTCTGTCGTCTTCTGGAATTTCATAGCTCTCCTGGTTTGATTCTTTCTCGCGAGGCACTTCATCACGGAAGCACGATGCCAATTTCTTCAATCTCGGTGAAGAAAGAGAATCTAAATCATGATCACTTTCATCGATCGTAACCTGGCTTCGTTTCAGAGACCTACTAGTGGCTGGGGAAGATTCTTTAGGCAAAGGTCTTTTCTTGGTAGTCACCTTTCGAAGTGATGATTCTCCCCCAGATCCTTTTATTTGGAGCTTTGTGTTTGAAGACGTCCTTAATGAATCTCTTTTTCCGGAAAGCCAAGAAATGTCATAACCTTCATCAGGATTCATCAAAGAATTAGGTTTTCGTCCTCTCTTCCCTATAATTCCTAGTTCTGTTTCTGCATCTGTACTTTCAGACCGCACTTCCTTCAGACTCTGTTTCAACAAATTCGAATTGTTTCCGTTTCTTACTTTGTCATTCACATTGATACGTTGAGTTCCATCTCTCGCAGGTCTCTTGGAACCACTTTTAGAACGAATCTCCTTGGGAGAATGCCCCAAATCCAGTTTGTCCTAGATCAAGGTCATTGGTTAGACAACATTGTTAACTAATGCTTTAACTCTACAGAGAACAAGTCCACCATATATAGTACCTCTAATGAATCTCTTTGGGCTACTTGTCTCCCCAACTTCGGTTCAGCTGCCTGAAACATGAAAAAGATAGAAGCTCGTAACTAACAGACTAATATGAGATTTCAAAGTAACCATATTACAACTCAATCAACCATTAAAACAAAGAGCTCAGAGTATCAAGAATACCTCATTTTCTTTGGTGTTAACTACATTATGGACTTTAGTAGTGTCAGGAACACTCTGGCATATGGTTGTAACTACTGGAGAATACATATCCAAGCTGGTGCCTGCAGACTTCAAAGCTTTGATGATGTATGTTCTAAGTTTACGAGCACATCTACTGAGAACCTTCTCCGCAAGACTCCAAGACGTTGGTGAAACATTCTAAAACACGTAGAAGAAGTAAAATCAAATCCCAAGATAAATGACGGCGAGAGACTTAGCTTGAAACAGAAAGAAACCATACCTGATTTTCCTTTTTGACACTAGCTAAAAGAATATCGAGCCAATCCGTGGATACTTCTTCGGTTTCATCTATTATGGTAATCATTATCATTTCCATTGACGAAAACACCACTTGAGAATGATCCGATCTAATAAATGCACACACACAAAAAAGAAAAACCCCATTCAGTATATGATCTAAACTAGATTCTCAAATATTGTAAATTAGGTTTTGTAAATCTAATCTACCTTATGTTTTTCACAAAGTTCCGAAACATTTGTAGAATGAGGTCATAGCACTCCAAGTCCAACATCACTAAGCATGATCTGACCTTTGATACACTATCAAGAACAGACTCGGCTTTCTTATAACTGCGAGAAGATGCATCAGCTAATTTCTCAAAAGCTTCAATCGTCAACCGAAAGATCTCCTGTAATACCAAAGAGACATATATCAACAAAACGTAACAAAGAGAGAAATGAAGGCAGTGTTACTGGAATCTGATTTACCTTCATTTGATCATCACTGTAAGGGGCTTCTGGAGCAGTAATCCTCAGAATTTCGGTTAAGCAAGAGACAACTGAAACCCTAACATCAGAATCAGGATGGTTCAAGAGGTCAACTGATACCAAAGCCTTCTTCGATGGAATTAGGGCATTTTGCATTGACAATGGTTGATCCTGCTCCACATTTCTAAGCAGAGACTCAGTTTCCTGCACACAGATAAAATTGAATAAGAAATTCAACAGAAAAGGTTTCGCCTTTAACCAAATTAACAAGTTCATATCTAAGAAAAAGCAACGAATTCACCAAAAAGGACCAAGATTTAACCAAAGATTCCACTAAAATCAACAATCAAGCTTTCCTTATCGGCAAGAAAGAGAAACCCTAATCGCATTTCGTTAAATCCAACCTAACAAAGCAAAAAGACCCAATTTTTGGTTTTGAAGAATCAAAAGAAACTGATGAGGAAGAGAATTTCGTACATCGAGAAGAGTAAGAAGCTCCTCAGTTGAAGAATGAGGCTTAACAAGATTGTATCCAGCCTCGATTAGTGCATCGGAAAGATCGTTCAATCCCACAATAGAAGACATTTCTTCTTCTTCCCCAGAAATCCTCTAACTTCGAAACCCTAAAAAAAGGGTAATCAAACTGTGGAAGACGCAACGCTTCGAATACTGAAGGTCAGAGCAAGAAAGGAGAAAGCTTTCGGGTGATTCTGATTTCCGAGGTTAAAGAGCGGTGTGGTAAACATGCAAAACAAGTTATTATATATACTAACTACGAAATTAGAAATCTAAAAATGGAAAAAATCTCAAGTGGTATCGATTCATTTTGGGTAAAGTTATGGATTTTTTTTAGGGTTTTTTAAAAAAAAAAATTTGTAATGAACATCTAGGTTGTGTTGAATCCTTGATTTGTTTCCATAGTTGATTTTTTTTTTTTAACTAACGCACTTCATTTATCGGTTGCGTAAATACATTGTAAGAAATCGAAAAGGTTCGAAGTAATAAAGTGGTAATTTTTTTTGATAAGAAGGGGGAAAATAGTAAAAATGTTGAAACTTTGGAACTTTTTAAATCCTGGCAACAGATAGTAAATGGAAAATGATTCATAAAAAAGAAACTATAATTCCACTTTTAGGGACATATATATAATACACATGTTCCCGCCTTCACTCTTGTTAAAGTTCATTCTTTAGTGTATTTGATAAGATTAAAGGTTCTTACTAGTGACAGATTTTTGTCTACAGATCTGATCACCCAAATGACTTGACCAAACTAGAAAGAAGCTAAAACTTGTGTATTATGTCTACATAACACGAGGAAAGATGGTTCTGAAAAAAAAAAACAAATCATCATGGGTCTTGGAAGAGTAGAGACTACATAACATCAAAACTTATGGTTCCAAACAAACTCCGAAAAGAATACTCTAACCATCAAAAACAAAAAGAGGGGACACAAGAAGGGGGAAAAAAGCATTATCTATTCTTGCAATTTGACATTGAAATGCTTTCTCTTGCTTTTTAGTGAGATTCGAGATGCTTCTTAACGATGTTGAGAGCAGTTGTCTCCTCTCCGTAATCCTGCGACAAGTAAAAACATTCTCATTTCAATCACAGGAACCCACAACTTTCATTGATTACCAGACACAGAACAAAAGTCTGCGACAAGTTATGGAGATTTGAGTATAAACGACTCTTTTACCTTAATTACAACACAAGAGCATCCAACCACTTTCCTAGCATTGCCTTCCGAATCGATCTTGCAGAGCTGTCACCAAATATAACAAGCATCTAAGTTTAAGACGAGAACCCAAAATAAATCACAAGATAAAGTTCTAGAAGACTTACACCAGCCCATTCACCAAGGGTCTTGGCACTTGGAACGGTAAGCAAATTGATGTTATGATCAGCACATAGAGCTTTAACAAGCTTGACATAATCAGGTTGGTTACAGTCATCAGCCAAAACACATAGCTGAGCAACACGCTTCTCAATAAGCTTAGCACTTTCATGGAGACCTCTAGTCACACCACCGTGCGCACGTGACTTCCTAAGAGTCAACTCCAATGCAGTCATCAAATCCATATCCTCCAGAAT